TACTTCAGTTTGATGTTTGTTGCACACCACTGAATTACCAGTCAATCCTTAAATAAACCTATTTTGTATATAAAATACATGAAAACTGGGTATTCATAAGGTGATATATCATACAAATGATATGTGCGTCACCCAGTGAGTGCACAGTGTGACACCTCTTTACCTCATTGCCTTTGCTGTAACAGTGTTCCTGTGGCGCCATCTGCAGGATACTAAGGGAGCATCAACATTTCCCTCAGCTGGAATCCAGTGCAGGGATCACATACTGTGGGCGACTGTGAATCTGCAGATGCAAATAAGAGATGTGACAATATCCAGATGCAAAATGGTGATGGTGATTTAGAATCAGAGAACATGCACCAGGCCAGATACTTACCAGTATGCATGGCCAAAGCAGCATGACAAACATACAGAGATGGGTAGAATTTAAACTAAATGTATTTGAAATATGTATTTAATTACTTTTAAGTATTTTTTAATTGGTATTTTGCTGTACAAATAAAAAGAGAATTAATTTGTGACAAACCACATTAAGACCTTGCATTTTTCTATTTGAAATACTAAAAATATATTTTTTAATATGCATGTTATTCTCAAATATGACACATTTTTATCCCCAGGTTTAAACTGTAGGAAAAAAACTACAATTAACTTAATCACAGCCTTTGTCTAAATGCAGGTGAAACATGTGACATGTCTGGGTGGGGCCAGCAACACACTAACTGTGAACTGCTGTATTTCATTTGTGTATACATGATCTGCAGTGTTAGAGGGTACAAAAAGGAGAATACTTTTTTTTAGGTTGCAGTTGGTGTTTTTCTCTTCTCTTATACTTTCTTACTTTCTCCTCAACTGTTTTGTACTTTATCATACTCTGCTGTAATGGTACCGTTTTGTGTCTTTTACACTCAGTCCATTGGTTGCTTGTGGAGTTGGAGATCTTAGGAATATACCTATTCCTCTGTGCTCTATTTCTCGCTTTTGAAAAAGGTGTTTGCTAAAGCCCAGTCTTTGGGCTCATTTATGCTTAATGTTAGATACATATACGGACACAGACAGAGCCCTCTGTCCATAGCCTTTGTGCACATTTTCTCAAAGCTTATGGATACGGACAAAATGCAGCAGTACCACTGGAGATTGTGGGGGCAATGTAGCATAGTTCAAGTAAGATATGACTGTAGGAGACAAGACATTATAAGAATGGTGGAACAGCAAGAATCTATAATGTAGTTAAAAGAGTCCTCCGTCCACATGTTGTTTTCAACAGCAGCGGTCTGTGAGGTCATTAAATACACTGCAAAGACACATTACTGCAGCCTCCTCCACTGTTACTGTTTGCTGTTGTCAGAAACATTTGTCTTTGCCCACTAGTGCAATCTGGTGGATGCATTTATGCCATTATAAAGGATGCATGGAAGTATGAGGGAAGTGACGTTAACAACATCTGAAAAGGACCTATCTATTTTCGTATGTAAAGGAAGTATAAATGGGCCCTTACTGTCACCTGACAGAACAAGTGCATCACACTGTGGCCTTCTGTTCAGTTCCACCAGTTACGTTTTAATTGGCTGTTCACTAACCACGCAGCCTGCACCCCTGAAATTGCAACATTCCACCCCTGAGGTATCCTGATTGGCCACTTCATATGGGAAATTAGAGGAGCTCATCTTTTCAATGTAGGGAGCTCAAAGTCACACTCATATTGAGGCTACAAAATGCCTAAATTGTGCAGCTTGGTCTCACTCCCAGGCCAGCAAAAACGCCTTTAGTGTCAGATATAGAAGCACAATGCACCCTTTAGCATTTGTATGAGACTCAACAGGCATTAAACCAGTTCTAATGCAAAACCATCCAGGTCAATGTTAGACATTCAGAGCAGCAGATGTAAGGATAAAGATTGCGAAAGTCGGCTTAGGGCGGGTGGATTCCACAAGCACAGGACTTCAACCCAGAAGACCTGTGTTTGTGTCCCATGTGAAACCAAAAGTCAACGCTAATGTCTTTTTGTCACATCAGTTGTTAGTAACATGAGTCAACTGATAATTTTAACCATATTTTCCTAACCCTGACAAAGTAGTTTTGTTGCCTAAACCTAACGAGATAAAATGCAAAAGGCTGACACAGGGGATTCTGCTCAAGCGTTAAAATGTGAAGTAGGGATGACATCATGTTGTAACATCACAATGTTTATTTGTGTGTTTGTTTCAAATTACAAATTATGTTTTTCAATCAATCAATTATTCAATTCAATTATTAAACATTTTGTATTTTATTTTCATAAATTTTATGAGCAAGTAGTTGTACTTTGTAAAAAGATACTTTCTAATGTGTTTGTTCCCATCTCAGCAATGTTTCACCCTCCCAGGTGTTTTCACTTATTTTGCCTGATTAGAGTCTCATTAGGACGAGCGCTTTATTGGCATGTCCCCCTCTATCTCTGTTCCAAAGTGGCTACTCAACAGGTGAGGGCGGGGGAGCTTTTATCATAGGCCTTTTTCACTGCAGACATTTTGTCTTGTTATAGCAGGGAAAGCACAGGTGCAGCTAATTAATGACTGTAATTTCCTGCTCTGTAAAAATGTCTGCAGTGAAAAAGGTCTATACCTTGAAAATGAAGCAGCTAACAGTTAATGTAATTCAGCTATTAATATTTGTGCTTTTCCTGCTGTGACATGTCAAAATGCCTTATGTGAAAACACTATAATTGCTGGCAAAAATTAAACGTAATGCTACATTAACTGCACTGAAAACTAACATAACTCTTCAGCTAAGGAGCGTTTAACCCACCTTTTCACACAGTTTTGGTTCACTCTCTTAGCGTCTTTTTTGGCAGCAACAGGTAACCTAGTTGTTAAGAAAAAACTTTAAAACTGACTGTACCTACATAGCAAACAATTAAAATTAGCAGCTAGCTTAGCTTGTATAAATACAGAGCGTTTAGCAGCTAACGTTAGCTATTAAACGTCAGAAACACATTGATGGCGAGAGAAACAGAGCTAAAAATAAAGAGAATATTGGCCTTACATTTGTCAGGTGGCCAGATACACGACTCCAAATGAATGATAGTGCTGCTCCGTGTCTGCTGGATGTGTAAATAAGCAACTGTTTGCTGCCACATGCCGGCCATGTCGTGTCAAAATGTGATAATGGGTCGTTAGAGTTCAGACTCAGAGGTTGTTTGTGCTGCCCGCTTACATCTTCTATAGCTATGATGGGTTCAGTGACCTTAATGACTTCAAGAGAAGCTCAGCTCTATGTTGCATTCAGGCCATATTGGAATGGGGGTACAGTAGAGAGTGGAAAGACTCACGTCCAAGACGTGTGAGCCTTGACGGGAAAACTCAACAGTACAGCATGATTACTCAGTTAGACAAGGGTTAGAAAAAGCCTTTTGGCAATATAATATCATAACCATTAGATGTGGGTTTTATTGCTTGAACAACGGAATTTGGCTAACTTGGGGCAACCATTTTGTTAGGTTTACAGGAACTTCTGTATTATTGATTGCCAACTTTTTCTCAATTACGTTATTATATATATTATACATTTATTTTTGATATAATTACAACGTGAATGTTGACGTTGGAAACAGGTAACTTTGGAAATTCCTATATGTCATGAACACCTCATTAACATCACCCTGGGCCATGGTCTAATCAGTCAGAATACTTAAAAACACCTGTCTCAGTGTGCATAATCTTAAAGTATTTAACTGCATTAATCCTTGCATAATGTTTATGAAAATGTTTTCCATATTAAGTAATATGGCCCTTTCCCCACTCAATAGACCTGGGGCTTTAGGGGCTTCTCCACCCTGAAAAAAAAATACAATTTGATAGTAACACAGTAAAAGACCTCAGATTTAAACATATTAAACAATTAGTACCTTTCTGCATAGCAAGTGTGATACCAAATCATTGTTTTGCAACTCACAAGTAAGTCTCAAGTCTTTGCACTCAAGTCCCAAGTCAAGAGAGGCAAGTCACATGTCAAGACACAAGTCAAGACAGGCAAGTCACAAGTCAAGTCTTAAGTGAGGACAGGAAGGTTCCGAGTCAAGACCCCAGGCAAGACAGGCAAGCCTGGAGTCAAGTCCCAAGTCAAGACAGGCAAGTTTGAAGTCAAGACCCCAGGCAAGACAGGAAGATCCCAAATCAAGTCCCAAATCAAGACAGGCAAGCCTGGAGACAAGTCCAAAGTCAAGACAGGCAAGCCTGGAGTCAAGTCCCAAGTCATGACAGACAGGTCTGAAGTCAAGTTCTTAGTCAAGACTGGCAAACCTGGAGTCAAGTCCCAAGTCAAGTCCCAGATCAAGTCTAACAAGTCCCAAGTCCTAAACTCTGACTTTCAAGTCACATCATGAATCACTCCTCACCAAATGCAATGCCATTTTAACAGTATTACAATATATTAAATTTACAAAAATCACAAAGGCTTTTTAAAAATTGTATTTATTAAAATATTTGTTGGAAGTTGTTGGATCTCCATCTGTAATTCGAACTGCATGTTTTGCAAACTTAAGTTTGTTTTTTTGTTGACCACCACATAGTCTTTGTTAGCAAACAAAATTATCTGTGGTATCACTTTTTCTGGTGTTCAGTAATGTCACGATTCGTCATCATAGTTCTCTGCTGAAACTTGATTGGATGCTGTCAGATTGGCTCAAACAAAATGATCATCTGGGGAATTAAGTGTCAACTTGTTGGGAATGAAAAGCATTAATGTTAGTTGATTCAGGAAATTAATTGATTCATAACACGCTTTTTAAATAACATACCTCTTAATCTTTGGGCTTGAGGGGAGGTATCAATTATTTTTAAGTCAAAAGACTCAAGTTGGAGAGAAGTCATTAGTCACTAGTGTCAAAGTCGTGTTGTCTTTGTGACTTGAGAAAGACCCAAGCCTAAGTCATGTGACCCAAGTCCATAACACTGCGCTGTAGTATTAGTATCAGGCCCTAACTTCATGAATCCATATTCCAAAAGTCCAGACCAACAGCATCACATTTTTTGTTGTTTTATTTTCTATTAAAGCAAGCTGAGTTCCCTCACTCAGTCTCCACATGACACACAAAACCTCCAACACAGAAATGTAACTATGCATAACAGGGAACACATTTACAAAATAAATTAAGGCAGATATTTGTGGATTCCAAGAGGTGGCAATAAATTATATGTGTAAAAGCTGGTGTTAGAATTCCGTAAAACAGTTACAATATAAAGCCAACCGAAACATCCTTCAGTGTCTACAGCTCAAATATTTCATCAGGAATAAGGCAATGATTTGTGGGCTTTACAAAAAATATTCATGCTGTGATCTTATATGATTGACAGTAGGACAGGGGCATCTCATTTATGCAAATATTATAATCATTTTAATGTGATTTTTACATTAAGCATTTAGCAAACTTTAGGGGCACATGATACAAAAAGGATCATAAATACTGATCTTTTTACTATTATTATTTTTAATCAAGACCTAAATTTGTTCATTGTACTTGGATATTTTGAGGAGCACCCTGACAGTAGCTGGATCTATTTTGCCAAACAACAGACAACATGGAAACAACCGGAAAGCCCTCTCACAGTGTCCTCTCAGAAGGATTCCCAAAAAAACACACAAAAAAAACCAAACATTTTAAAAATAAGGCAAAGGGATTCCTTTCTGCATTATCGGTATCCAACAAATATCTAACAAACAGAAACACACTTAAAATAACGCTGATTTTTTAAATTAATATAAAAATGGATCAGTAGAAGAATTTCATGGGAGTCAACATGTGTCTGGTTGATCAAATGATTGTCACTTTCTTCTTGAATAAATAAATAAAAACAGTCACACTGTGTAGACAAAAAAAAAAAAAAACATGCACAACTATGTTTTGATGTATAATGGCATGCCACAAGCCCAGCTCACACTTTTTACAATGTATATTATAATATTCTGCAGTCTAAGGAGGCTTTGACCATTCAGTAGCACTAGTGTCAGAGCCTTTATGGTTTAATAAAAAAAAAAAAAATAGTAGCATTTATTAATAAAATAGGAAAGCAGTGTTGTTTGTGGTAAGACTTCTATGGGTTTTGACATAAAATCATTCCTCTGTGATATTTTCTCATACCTGACAAGGGCAGAGGGTGGCAGCACAGGGTGGCTCGAGGTTACGATGCAATGAAAGCACATATTCTCCAGACTGACAGAAAGAGAAGCTGAGTCTTTAAAGACTTACGATCATATCCTGTGGCATTAATCAGAGTAAGATAATCACATCAAAAGCGTGGCTTCAGCACTCAAACAGGTGCAAACCCAAACCACTGACAGAGCTAGTAAAACCAAATATGTATAGACATTTCACTCCAAAATCAGGCAAGTATAAAAAGGTGATGATTAGTGTTGGAAAGATGACTGACAACAGAAAAGCACAGGACATTATGGGCTCTTTTTTCATGTCGGCACAAAGACTAATACAATTAGCACTATATTTGGTGTTGCAATTTTCCAAACTCAAGGTGCATTTTATCACGCTCATGTCTCCTCGCTTCCTTCACTTGCTTCCTAACTTCGTGAGTGACCAGAGGAGGTGAGGAAAAGATGCAAGGACGGAGAAGCCAAAGCTCCCAAAAAAGAAACCCTTGGTTCCACAGCGTCAGTTTTCAGCGACATCATTTACTTCTGTTGCTGCGGAGCTGTATCACGTCAAACTGACTGGTGTGAATGTCCACAAAATCGTTTCTTTAATAACAATTTCAAAATCTTAAAGGATCTTTCATAGATAGGGACATCTCTTATAGGCCTATAAAGGTTTTACATATACAGGAGGCCTTCATTTAGATATGCAGATTATATAATATAACCAATCATCAGTAGCATTATTACTGATTGCTGACCTATATTATGGTAAGAAAATCCCGCCATGACCCTTGGGCAGCTCCGTACTTTATTTAAGATTTCCGTGTCGGATACACCTGTTTCCTTGCTATGAGCTCATACAGAGGCTTTCTCCCTCCTTGTCTTGTGAGATGCATTTAAAGGATTGGAAGTTCCATCATTGTGGAGGGAGAACGATTTCTGGGTCACGGGAGGAGATAAGGAAGCATAAGTTAGCATAATGAAAAGGACCCCCTGACTACCTGGTGGTTTGTCAGTCCCTTCTATATTCTCGTGCCCAGTGCAGCACGCATGGTGCAAAAGTGCCCCAAGAAGATGAGGCATTGCAAGTTTAAGTGTTTCTTTGGTGCAGCAAATGGATGTCTGAGGATCTAGGACCAGATGTATAAACAATATGTCTGCACAAAAACACTTCCCACACATTTACTGCTAGTAAGAAAAACACTGTGCTGAGAATGTGTGTTTAATCATGCATACTTAAAGCACGCATAATTGTGCGTGAATTCCATGCATACTACCAGGGTTTTTTGGGAACGGTCTGTAACATGACAAAAACAAACAAAAACAAAATAGACAGAATTTTTTATGCATCTGGCATCCATCACTGCTACAATTCAACTTATGTCTGGACTGCACCCATAGACTGTATAGAGGAAAAGGACGGAACCACTGTGACGTCATCAACTGGTTTGTGGAGTACCACAAACGTTGGCACGTTAGCTGTGTCACCACCGTGGTGGCGACTTGTCAATCCCAAAGTAGCCACGCCCTAAACAATATCCTACTTTATCATCTATTTAACTCTATATGGGGCTATAATTTATGAAATGATCATGCTGAATTGAAGAAGACTTGAAACTAGAGACCATATACTGGTTAAGAAAATATTTACTGAGCTAATAATCAACTCATGTTCACATAGAATTTAACTGGACTACTTACTCCACCCAGTGGAGTCACCCCCTGCTGGCCATTAAAAAGAATGCAGGTTTAAGGAACTTCAGCATTACCCTCACTTTTCAGACCTGGAGATAACCCCCTGGCTGACCCACATTATTGTAAAAGTGGGCAACAAGTTAAAGGAAAGATCTGAGTAAATGTGGTGAGAAACATGACAAATACAGGCTGCTTCCATACAGGGAACAAAAGCTCCTGGATGATTTGAGAAGTATTAGTGGTGTGTTAGCTCTGTGTTGAGATGGGCATTTCTTGTTTTCCAGGAACTATTTAAATTTGAATTGTTTATGGCAAGGCTATGGAGGAGCTTGGGGAGACAATTCGTATAATGAGTTTATCCAAGGAAACACTTTCACTGCAGTTGGCTTAAAAGCATCAGTGCTTTAACAACCCATCACTAATGGCCTTCTGGGTGATATTATGGAGTGTTCTGTCAGGGCTCCGACACACCAAGCCGACAGTCGGCTGTTGGTCTATGTCAAGCGGTCAGGTCATTTGTTTTGCAGTGTGTCGCACACTGTTGGCACTAGTCGGCCTTTGCCGGGTGACTTTTGGCAGATTCAGCATGCTGAACCAGCGTTGGAGACAGTGGAGCCTGTCGGTGAGTGAAATCACTCTGATTGGTGGTTCAGCTCAGTACACGAGAAGAGAAACAGAAGTGAGGAAAGCAGGCTAATGACTAAACTAGAGGGTGTGTGAGATCACAAGAAACGTGATATTAGGTTGGATTAGGTTAGCTCTTAAGCAGAAATGGCTTGTAATGGTCTGTGTTATTATTCACTAGCGCACGATAAATCATCGGATAGTGTTGTTAATGTGTTAACTGGAAAACTAGCAGAACATACGTGTTAATCAGCCATCGGTGGTAGTCTCTGCTGTGAGATGAGGTGCAACTTTTTGGCCGAGACACAGGCAAGGTGAGGCAACGCAAGAGTCGGCCTTTGTTGCCACTGGTTCTTTGATGTCAGTTTGGTGTGTCTGGCCGTTTGACAGTGCTCTCCTCCACCACCACCACCACCATCATCATTATCCTCATCAAAACACCAAAAAGAATATCATTTGAAAGAATATTGTTCATCCCTCCAGTGGAGTTCACCACACTTGGAGAATCTAAAAAAAAGACACTAAGCATTCAGAGGAAGGATTACAGTCACAGAGAGACTTTAAGAGAATGCTCCTGGGGGCAAGGGAGATTCATTTGAGTCTTGTTTTTCATGCACCATTGTGATCGGAACAGTTGTTATAAAAGGTATGTGACAGGAAATGTCACTAACTGGGAGGATGAATAATCACCAAATTCACTTTAGCCAACCCTTCTGCACATAGCACACTGCACCTATGTGAGCAATAATAGCAGATGCACCTGGCAACCCTCACTGACCTTGTGCACATGTTGGTGTTGATTCTTGTGAGTGCAACATGAAAATAGAGCCCTATGTGTTTACTGTTAGAGAGCTTTCCTTATGAGGTTATAGTTTCTGATGAATGCAATGTGTGTTTTTGATGAATATGTAGACAGCCTTTTGGAATGAAAGCCTTTCAGGTAATAAATATTAATAATAATCTGTCACATCTTTGTAGAGTGAAAAAGTCCTGCAATGAGTTCAGTCAGGCCTGTTGCGTCGCCTGAGGCCGGATGCAGGCTGCTCCATTCCAACCTCCTCAATGTTTGTCTCATATGAGTCCTCTAGTGAAGGCATGAGCTCAGAGTCCTCCAAACCTTTTTCCTCCTCCTGCTCTTTATCAACCTCCTCCTCTTCCTCTACATTCCCTTCTTCCTCCGATTCCCCATCTGAATCCTCTGGTACGAGCTCCTTCAACTCTTCACCTTCTGTTGCAGCTTCGTCTTTACCTCCCAAACTCTTCTGATATACCTTTTCAGAAGCCTCTGCTGTTCGTGTAGAGCTCTGCTTGTCCACCAGAGAAGCCTGCACTGCCGAGGTGTCGTTGGCTCCCAGTGACTCAATGAGGTCGTCCAGATTACGCTCGCAGGATGCCTCTGAAAAACAAGCGATAGAAAATGAACCACATATTCTATTAATAATCAATAATAAAACTATATGTGTAAATTCTCTACTAAACTAAAATTGCTGCCTTGCAGTTGCTCACAGTTGCATGCCTCTGTGAACCAGTCAAGTTGCAGTTACAGTTTACAATCATGTCACATTGACCTTAAAATTGACCACCAAACTCTAATCAGTTCATTCTTGAGTCAAAGTAGACATTTGTGCCAAATTTGAAGAAATTATCTCAAGGTATTCTTGAGATATTCTATTCACCAGAATGGGACGAACGTATGTATAGGCATACAACCTGCAACCTGCCGCTGTCAGTCATGCCAGAAAAACAAAGTTTTTGTCAAGAATTCAAGATAACGTGGCATGACTAAATGATATACAAAAAGGTCATCTTGTGGGTGAAGTACTCCTTTAACAGCAGTCTAATAAACGGCAAAATGTAGAAACAGGAGATTATCAGTGAATGGGAAGAAATAGTATTTCTGTTGGGAGAAACTCAGAGCAGCAGAGTGCGAGCATGACATGACTCTGATGCTGAAATTACCAGAACCGCCCCTTGAAAGTCAAAGATTTGAATCATCAGTCAGAGACCACTCAGTCGACCGAGACCGCTTCAAATCAAGCAGCCTTTTTTGTTTTTTGCTAGTCAGTGTGTAGTGTACTTCTTGGGACCAAAATGTCCTTAGATTTGGCTGTGAGTAAGCAGTCTGCGAACGAGATGCACAGAGGAGTAGAGACTCAGCACCATAAGGCTCCGAGATAACATCGTCTTCTCTCTTCGACTGAGAAGTGGTGAATTTACAGCTCACAGCAACTTAATAAAACACAGTCTCTGGCTTTTGTTTGATATCTAAAGTCAGCAAAAAATGCTGTTGCACATTTTCAATCGGCCGTTAGCGTAGTTAGCTTGTTTACTATCTGGCGTGAATGTGTAAACGTCATGCTGAACCCCTTTCTACCTTTAGAACTTAATATGGGGAAAAAAAACAATCATCAAATATTCATTTTCAACAGCCAAATCTGATTAAACTGGCATAATTCTGACTTGGGTACAGCCCTAGAAACTAGTGCAGTGGGACATTGTGTAAATAATGCCAAATATATCAAAACAACAGGTAAACATAGAAGAAATGTGGAATTTGCGCTAAACAGAATCAACAGCAGGAAGAAAACAGGGAGGCTTCTTACTAAAACATGATAAGATATACTTATAAAGGCATGTCTCTAATACAATCTTATTTCAAATGAAGGCCTGGTTCTCTGTACTATTTGAAAAATGTACAGTATATTAGTCCTAGGTGGTGCACTGAATCTTATTTTCAATTCCGAATTGGGCTTACAACGATAAGGAAACTACATAATCAGGAGAAAACAATTATTGTGCCACATTTTGTTTAATAGTAATGCTCTTGTTTTGTCTTGCGCAGGGCCCCTTACAGAAGGACAACGATATATCAGCCGATATTAGTTCATCACAAATATATTAGTATTTCGATCTATATGAAATAGCTGCACACAAAAGCCAAAGATGTGGTGGCAGTTATTTAGAAACACCAGTGGTCTAGGAGAGAGCACTGACATAATTTAATAATAATAATTTTCTACTGCATAATAGTCACATGATGTCAAAATTCATCCTTATTAAAGTCAAATGTATAGAAATATTCGATTTTATCAATATCATTCAGAACTAACAGTAGGAAAATGAAAGTTGATGGGATCTTGCAGTCATCAGAAAATGCTGACCTTTTTGCATTTTAGATGTCAACCACATTCATAACTATAAAATCAGATGCAAAACACTTTTTTTTAGAGTTGTATTTCAATGTGGTTGCTCTTGTTGAATTTCAAATTGTGGGTTATCACAGCAAGACAGACATGCAAAGCTGATGCCACAGCTAAACAAGTCGTGACAGTAGCATGAAGCATGACTGCATATTCCATATCTTATTACCCAGCCTGCAATTTGCTGTTTCAAGTCTTAGTGGAAAAAAAATATATACTGCTTGTACTATTCAAATGCAATGTGTACAGTAATTCCTAAAATCAGATTTGAGACCAAAAAAGAAAAACTGTATTAGTCATCAGTGTGAACACAATCGCTCAGCCCACCGTTGATGTTCAGGGGTGGACAGTCCATTCCTCTCTTCTTCATCAGATACCGGATGGTCTGGAGTTGAGACATGATCTCGTTCTTCTGCTCCTGGGCCACTGACTTCACACTGAAGAGAGATGAGAAGTGAAAACTACATGATGATGAAAACAAATCTCAGAGGAATTACTCCTAGCATGTGGTGAAACAGTGCCTTTTAACTGGAGGAGACAGAAATTGTAATTACTAGTTTGTATCTCAGGCAGTAGGCTGGTTATCTTAGTGGGCTAGTTAAAGGGTTGCTTGGCTCATTTGGTGGCTCAATCAACAGGGTTCCTACACATTTGGAATTTCAAAATTCCATACTTTTCCATACCCTAATTTCCAGACTTCTCTGCGATTGTTTTTTTTTTTCAGAGAATATGCGACATCTGAGTAAATATCAGTGTGTCATATTTCACATCATATTTAATTTATTCTTAATAGGCAATTGTAGCCAAGTACCATAATGGCATGTAAATAAAAACTCAGGTAAGTTCAATGTCTGGGCTGAGGCAAAAAGGTTGGGACTCTGGGTGCAAGCGATGCAGTAACGAGACGTCAGTGTTTGTTCCTTTCATGTGGCTCAGAATCGCCTTCTCCCCCATGTTGGCGATGTCAAACGATTTCACACAAAGCTTGCATCTAGCTCTGTGTGTGAATTGGGAATCCTTGGCCAACCAGTATTTATATACGGTATTGTCAAGCCATCCATCCAAAAACTTACATCTACCCATTGTGAACCACGTGAAACTCGTCTTCTTGTCAAAGGTGCAGTGTTGGAGTGAAACTTGATACCTGGGGGGCTGGAGAAGGGTCATGGGGCAGCGGACTGGTCATACCACTTGTCAATCAGGTAAAAGGGGCGGTATGTTTTCTGAGACGTTTGCTCTCACACAAACTGTGCTTGGCCCGACATAAAACACAATCCAGATTGATTAAATTATTTTTGGAAATACCTAATTTTCTATTTTAGAAAACAGTATTTTAGAACAGTGATAATAGTCTGGAAACATAAATATTTTTCCATACTTTATTTTTCATTTTCCATAACTGGAAATTGATCAGATTTATTTCCATACTTTTCCATACTTTCCATACTTGCGTAGGAACCCTGAATCAAGCGGCAAATTCCGGGGCTCAAAATGAATGTGGAGATGTCAAAAAATTGCAGTTCCTTGGATGGCCTCTTGAGGCTGGCCCCAAGAGTGAGTCAATCCCCATAGAGTGCTGCAGGGAGGACATTTTTGTGGTCTGACGTGGAAAAAGCCAATGGGATTTTTTTCTATTGGATTTTGGATTATTGCAGAAAAAAGCTCTGTGGCAAACGTTTTATACAACAAGATAATCTTCACAAATGAACACCACTTTTATGAATTTTGAAGCCTAAATGCAATTGAAAGAAGCTAATGTTAGGCTACAAAAAAAAAAAAACACCATGGCTGCATGACTCAACATCGCCACTATAATGAGGATGTAAAGTCGTTTGGCATGATGGCACTGTCTTCACATTTAGCACCTATTTGCAACCGCCTTTTTCTTAACACACATAAAAAGGTTCAAAGCTATGAGTGGGGTATATAATGATGCATTCCATGTCATAGAACAAAACGTAAAAATCTCTTTAGCTTGTGCTAACCCCAGACCTTATTTCAGGCATCTAACCAAAAACCCATTGACTTTGAGAGGAGGAAACCGGGTGTACTAAAAGGCTAAATCATTTCCGGGTTTTAGGACTCATTCTTGGAGCGCTTAACAGACCCCTATGTGAAAAATGCCCAACTTTTAAACAGAAATAAACATGTTTACAGCATGGAAAAAATGAAATGGTTTTGGCCTCTACAGCGAATTTACCCATTTATGACAACCATAGAGGGGTGAATTTTATATACCTCTTCCGTTTAAGACTTAAGGTTATCCACAATTAAGGGGGTGGCTGCCTGGAATAACAGGTCGGGTGCCATCTTAGACATGATGCTACCAAAGCGGCAATGTTGGTTGGGTAATGTAACCATGGCGTAACCCCAGATTAACAAAGTATAGGCCTAGCTGTCGGTGTGACCATTTCAGCGTGTTTTCAGTTCATGAAAGTTAATAGTAACATTTTGGTCACCTACAAAAAAATCTTATTTAGCATTTGGTTCTACTTAAAAACCCTGTAAGTAGTCGATGTTCAGGATTTCCACTTACTACATTTTGTTTTAAATGGTTTTAGGCCTGTTTTTTGTTAATAAAAAAAAATTAAATTATCATTATTACAGTTAACCATAGCTGTAAGCATGCTAACCAAGCTAGCAGCTAACATTAGGGTTAGCTCCACCCTCTAATCCAAACATGGTCACTTCTGGTTGCAAAAACCAAGATGGGGACAGCCAAAATGCGAGTCCACAAACCATGGGTGATGTCACAGTGGCTGTGGAAATTATTTTATACAGAGCCATGGGCTTAATAGGCATGCTAATTAGCTAACCATTTTGCTCAAATTCCAATTAGCCTGATGTGATGTGGTAGAAGGGAGTGTCTGCTTTGTTACTTGTTGACATGAGGTATCTGCAGCTGATTGTTTGTCTTTTGCTTAGTGGATGAGTGTTAGCAACACGCTGGCTAGCTTGACAAGGTGTTAGCTGGCAATACTGTAGACAAAAGTATATATATTTCAGTCAATCAACAACCATTATAGTATCAGGGAAGCACTTACCGGGGAAGCACTTAAAACCTTTGGCTACCTTAAATGGGCCATTGCTATAACCTCAAAACACCCAGAGGGGATAGAGAGGAAGAGACACAAAAACAAAACAACGTTGTCATTCCCTATGCCGCAGGAGTATCTGAGAAACTCAGGAGGATCTTCAACACACACCACATCCCTATGCACTTCAAACACAGCAACACACTGAGGCAGAAGCTTCTCCACCCTAAGGACAAAACACCCAGGCAGAAGCAGAGTAATGCAGTGTATGCAGTTCAGTGCAGCCAGGAATCCACAAATTTGTACATTGGTGAAACATATTAACCACTCATCAAGCGCATGGCACAGCATAGAAGAGCCAACTCGTCAGGTCAAGACTCCATTTACATCTTACGGAAAAGGGACACTCTTTCGACAACAGCAATGTTCACATCTTGACCAGAGAAGACGGATGGTTTGAAAGAGGCGCAACAGAGGCCATCTACATCAAATTCTCCAGACAACTTCACACCCATTCTCACCTGGACCCATCTAACCCTAACGGTGGTGTGGTGGCTTGTGTTCGAGATACAAGGCTCCCAAAAACAAGCCCTCGAACGGTACTAAAAAGAAATTATAAAAGGTTTTCTGAACAGGCGTTTCTGCATGATTTACTTTGTGGTGACTTGGATCGAATTAGTCTGATCCCTAATGTGGATATGGCATGGAATTATTTTCATTCTGTCTTCCTTTCCACCACAAATAAACATGCACCTCTTATCAAATTCAGAATAAAAGGAAGAGATAACCCTTGGTTTTCCCCTGAGCTCGCTGAGTTAATTCATGTTCGTAACCAAGCATGGGCCAAAGCCAGAGAATCAAACTCTTCTTCTCTCTGGTCCAGATTTCGGTGTCTCCAGAATAAATGTACTGCTTCCATCAGGAAATCCAAATCTGAATATTATTTCAACTTGACGTTTGAAAACTTAAATAACCCTTCTAAATTCTGGAAAACTATTAAGTCGCTTAATCCTACTGCCCCTGCTTTGCTCCCCCAACAAATTATTCATTGTTCTCAGCCAATAACTGAGAAGCAATCTATTGTTGATCTTTTTAATGAACACTTTGTTTCTGCTGGATATTTGTTCGATCGCTTGTTTCCCGATTTGAAATCCAGTGTCTTGTCCAGCCCTCCCACTGCTGAAGAGACTCCAGGTTCTTATGGTTTTGCTTTTGAACATGTTTCTACTGCTTCTGTCCTTAAAGCTTTAAAAGCAAGTGACCCTAAGAAGTCTCCAGGCCCAGATGGCCTGGATCCCTATTTATTAAGACTCTCAGCAGAACTTATAGCTGAACCTCTGGCTAATATTTTCAACTTATCCCTGTCCACTAATTCTATCCCTAAATCTTGGAAGGAGGCATATGTTTTGCCCATCTTTAAAGGGGGGGATCCCTCTGACCTGAACAACTATCGGCCTATTTCAAAACTCTCAGTGGTTGCTAAAATTATGGAATCCCTGGTGAATGACCAGCTAAAGGAGTTTTTATTAGAAAGCGGTCAGCTTAGCTCTGTTCAGTCTGGTTTTAGATCAGGTCATAGCACTATAACTGCTGCCTCCAAGGTGCTGAACGACATAATTCAGGGTCTTGATAATAATAAACACTGCGCTGCAGTGTTTATTGATTTATCTAAGGCATTTGACACTGTGGACCACACCATCTTAATCAATAGACTCCATAATATTGGCTTGAGTGTAAACTCTGTTAGTTGGTTTGCAAATTATCTTACTGACAGGTCACAGACAGTCCTTGCCGATGGTCAGAGGTCATCTTCCAAGTCAATTGCCCGGGGTGTGCCCCAGGGGTCTATTCTGGGGCCTATCTTGTTTACGATTTATATAAACAACATTGGCACAGATATACAAAATTGTGATAAATCTAACTTTCATCTGTATGCAGATGATACAATTGTTTATTCTTGTGCCTCCTATCTGTCCTGCGCTTTTCAGCACCTCCAAAAATCGTTTAGCTCGATTCAGGCTGATTTTAAAAATCTTAAACTGGTTTTAAATGCTAGTAAAACAAAAGTCATGTATTTCTCTAGATCCCACTCCCAGCCTCCTGTTCCTCACGTTTTCACCACTGATGGAAAGTGCATAGAACAGGTGGCTTCCTATAAATATCTTGGAGTCTGGCTTGATTCTAAACTTACTTTTTCTATTCATTTGGATAATCTTGCCAAAAAACTCAGGATTAAACTAGGATTTTACTTTAGAAACAAGCATTGTTTTAATCTCACTGCCAAAAAGAGACTTGTCATGGCTACCTTTCTTCCCATGATTGATTATGGTGATGTTCTTTATATGCATGCCTCTGCTGCATCCCTTAAGGCTATAGACACAGTCTATCATGGTGCCTTGCGCTTCATTTTGAATGCCAAATCTCTCACCCATCATTGTTTCTTATATGAAGGGTCTGGTCTGACATCACTAAACTATCGCAGATGGCGCCACTGGCATATTTTTATCTACAAAGCCATCTTAGGGCTACTCCCTGGCTATTTGAACCGCCTACTCAATCACTCTACTAGTGGGTACAGCCTGCGCTCTCAGGACTTCTTGTTGTTTTCGGTCCCTCGCGCCTTCACTGAATTTGGGAAGACCGCTTTTAGTTATTATGCCCCTTGGTCCTGGAATCAGCTCCAGAAAACGCTAAAATTGGCTGACCTTGTTTCCTTGGGTGATTTTAAATGTTTGTTACAGTCTGTAAAAACAGAGCTCTGCAACTGCTTTCTTTGAATTTGATGTGTACTATATGTACTTTATGTATCTATGTACTGCTGTGTTTATGTTTTTTGTTGTTGTATTGTTGTAACATTGGTTTGCTGCCTTCTTGGCCAGGGCTCCCTTGTAAAAGAGATGTCAATCTCAATGGGACTCACCTGGTTAAATAAAGGATAAATAAATAAAAATAAAAAAAAAATGACACACATGATGGCCGGGTGGGTCAACCACTCACAGGTGACCTTAACGACTCTGAAATTCAGAGCTCACATGTGACCTTAACGACTCTGTGAGTGTTCACACCCACACAGAGTTTCAAACCTGCACCACTCTGTTAGAACTGAAGAAGCCTGTTGCATGAGAGGTGAAACGTCTTCAAGAAACTCAGGCAAGTCCAGTTGCCTACAATATAGCACTTACGATAACCATGACCTGGATGACTGAGAATCCTCACCAACAGTCATTATAGTACAAACAAATGTCTGGCTTGAACAAAAAAAATGATAGTAGTAGATAAATAAATAGTATAAAATAGTATTTCTGAAACCTGTCAGTGACTTTGTTTTTACTGCAGGCCTGCTAAAAGGAAAGGGACAATGAGGGACAGCAAAGTGGGTGTCGCATTTCAGAACCACAACTGAGCACAAGGCATGGTGGAGACAAAAGTGCATGAAAACTGACACTGATCATCACTCACCAGTTAGTGAGCGGGTCCAGCTGTGTGAGGATGGAATTGAGCATCCTCTCTGTCTGCGCTAGCCTTTGTTCCAGCTCGTTTAACTGGTTCTCTGCATGAAAGCAAACATGACGTGATATCTGAATTACTCACTACTCACAGTAGGTAAGCAAATGTGTGTTTGACCAAAGAATACACAGACATGCAAAGAGAAATCCCAGTGCACGCAATATACACCTGCTTCCACTGACTTCTTGGCTCCTTTTGCAAATTTGTCCTTTTGTGCCTGGTCATCTGCAGACTTGATCTGTCGAAAAAAATGATGGCACACAAATTCAGCATCTTTTCCTGTCAATGATTTTAACGATCTTAAGGTCATTAAGTGTTGCAGGTATCTTTGTTTACCTTCAAAAACTTGTAGGCTGCAAACACTCCAACTCCGATGGCGTACAGAGGCATCAGTGTGAACACGTAGCCCTTGTTGCTGTTGGATTTGTACTTGTCACTCTTCAGCTCTTGCTCCATCAGCTTCTTCATCTGCTGCATGTTCTCAGGGGTCTGAGCTGAACCAGGGGCATTTACGTTAATGGGCTGACCTCTCACCGCGCCCGGGCCTGGACCTGCTGCAACAAATATAGCAAGATGAGGACAAACAGGGGGACGGACAATGAGGCTTCTGTGAAACAGTAAGTCTGACTGTGTCCTGAGGAGTGTTTATAAAACAGGATTACCAATTAAACCAGGCTTACTTCAGTAAAACACGGTGCTTCCAAAGTGCTCTCAAACGCTCCCAGCTGAGGGGTGTGTGGTGTTTTCAGCTGGGAAAAACCCCTTTGGTGGACATGGGACCTTAAATAAGTATTTCACCACTGGAAAGATGTCTCTTCATGAAACTGGGCTGTTGATTATGGAGCTATATTTGTGTCTTTATTACATGCGAGAAAATAAATGATGAGAGAAAAAAAAAATATTTGAGAGAAAAAGTTTTCACACTGATAGCAAAAAATAATACTATTTGAGACTAAAAAAAGTTTTGAGAGAAAGTATTTTGTCATATAATATAAAAAAAATAATAATTTGAGATTTAAAAAATTATTTCCGAGAAAAAAAACTCTCAAAACCCTTCTTTTTTTACTCTCAAATATTATTTTTTTGCTATCAGTGTGAAAACATTTTCTCTCTCAAAAAAATGTTTCTCTCAAAACCTAAGTCTTTGCTGTCGTGTCAGGATTTTGCTTTCGCTGTGAAAATAATGTCATGGGCGGGGCCACGTTCCTATTGGCCAGTCTCAATCGAATTGACAGCTAGGTGAGGATCGTCTTGGGAGTCGAATTCAACTGAATCCTTCATCCACCATGGTGGATTCACAGGCATAGACGTGCTGCATTATTTGGGAGCGGATATGCATACATTAACATTATGCATGTGTGGCCAAATGGAGAGGAGAGGGAAATTAACCGACAACGCCACCTGTGGAATTGCACCCCAGGGAATACACTCAAACCTGTAGACTACTCTTAACAACAGAAGGTCACACAGATTCGTACACTGGTAAATATGGGGACAGGACACGGACTTCCAAATATAACAACACGGAGGTCCAAAGCCGCATTAATGCACAGCTGCGTTACATTGTGCTTTAATCATTGTGTGGAAAACTGGCAGAACAGCAGTGGAAAACGGAGCGGCCGCACCGGGGCTGGAGGCCCTGGATAGCCGTCCTTCAGGATGCCCAGCTGACGGCCCACGTCACCGGGCTACAGAGTGCAGCCCCACACAGTGCGCAGAGGAGGAGAAGAAGCCACAAGCTGTGGCCTCAGCTACAGCAGGACAGAGAGCAGGACAACCTGTTAACATAAAGTTAACAGAACTAGCAGAAGTAGAAATAAAAAAAACAGAGTGAGCTTACCGGAGCGAAGGGAGCTTAACACACAGCTCAAACCCAGTCACCGTCTCGCAGTGAGGAAAAGCAGACACCACGATTTTCAAAGTCCCCCCCGAAGCTGCACACAACAGGAACGGCCAACGCTGCTGTAAAGCGAAGAGTCACGGCGGCTGTGACATCATAATACGCTTTACCAGTACACAAACATTGCAGCACCCATGCCTACCTTATGAGTCCCAAGTTTGGGTACAGAAACCGGAGCACGACACACACAAAACACGCCAACCGGAGCACGCCATACACAGCCCTTGCCAGGTAAACGCCAGGTAGAAGTGAGCGCGCCCATGAGGGGAAGACCAAATAACGCAGGTGCCACCACTGCGCAATTAGGCTCCAACAACTGGAAATTAGGCCCAGCTGGTGCCAATTAAGGGCGGAGGTGTAGCAGCGCTCACTCTGCCACACATGGAATGTTGGAAGAGAAAAGCACCGTAGTAAAATAACATTAATGGGATAACCTAGCTGGATGTAAAGTTAACACTAGCTGGCTAGTGCAGTTAATAACACAATCTCGGTAAAATAATGTTAGATGAGAAAAAAGGATTCACTATAGGAATGATTTTGATAACCAACTTGCTCAGCTAGCTACCCATCAATTGTGTGTGTCATCATCTTACCCAAACATTGGAGTCTCCGCTCCCAAATAACGCAGCGCATCTATGCCGGTGAATTGTCCATGGTGGATGAATGATTCAGTTGAATTCGACTCCCAAGACGATCCTCACCTAGCTGTCAATTCGATTGAGACTGGCCAATAGGAACGTGGCCCCGCCCATGACACTATTTTCACAGCGAAAGCAAAATCCTGACACAAGAGCAAAGACTTGAGAAAATGTTTTCACATTGATAGCAAAAAATAATATTTGAGAATAAAAAAAAGTTTTTTGAAGTTTTTTTTTCTTGGAAATCATTTTTTAAATCTCAAATTTTTTTTTTATATTCTATGACAAAATACTTTCTCTCAAAACTTGTTTTAATCTCAAATATTATTATTTTTTGCTATCAATGTGAAAACTTTTTCTCTCAAATATTTTTTTTTCTCTCAAACATTTTTCCTCTCTCATATCATTTATTTTCTCGCATGTAATAAAGACACAAATATAGCTCCATAGTCGATGCAATTGAGAGATACAAATATTTTTGAAATTGGTGATAAATGACCAGGAAAAAACTGAGAAAAGGGGCTGTGACATTTGCTTCAGCTCAAGAGGTAGAAAACATAAAAGGGCAAAGTGCACTGCAATAGTGTATCATCACCTGATAGTAAGAATAGTGTTTTCCTAACGTAATAATGAGGCATTTATATCTACGTACGAAGCGAGTCCTCTTCTATAGAGTCTGCCATGTTGTTTCTACAGTTGCCCAGAACAGACAAACCACACACTGGCTGTAGATAGGGCCATCTGTATTTTCCAGTCAGCCACCGTAGTTCTCCTGCATGCTCGGCACATAGGAGAAGTTTCAGTTGGTAGCAATTTGCAACTTCAGAGCTAGATGCCACTAAATCCTACACACTAGACCTTTAGGAGGTATGACTCCCATAAACAAATATCATGATCCATCATAGATAACCCTGACATTAATATATCCCTAAATATCAACCTTTTGAGGTACTAAATATATATCTAGTAATGTCAAAGCTTTTTAATATGAATGTTAACCAAAAATGATTACATTGCTGCATCTTTCTA